TAAGGACATTGCAACAGGTGATCCAGCCCTAAAAGCAGCGGTTAGCAAACAGAGGCCTTCACCTACCATGGTGTAGGGATCATCAACGTTGGCATAAAAGAAGTCAGTGGTTTGGATGAGTTTCAGGTTATCACGCAGGGGAATCACACAACAGTCGAGTTCAGTGGCTAGAAGAGGAGAGATGGTGACTTGTTAGAAGAGAGAAAAAAAATCTTGTATGAAATAGCTCAATAACAAGAAACCCCAGGCTTCTGTGTTACAAGACGGATGGTAATAGGGATTCTTAGGTGGAGCATATCAGGCGAAAAAACGTGATTAAAATATAAAAGAGCATAAAATCATAGGAAGAATTATTTAAATAACCTAGAATTTGGCAGCAAAAAGCGCGCGATAATATAAATGTCGTTAATAAAACTTAATTAAACTAAGCTAAACTAAACTAAAAGGGAATTTTAAGGAAAAACTAATTAAACTAAATAATAAACTATAAACCAAACTAAAAATGAAAATAAAGCTAAACTAAAATTAACTAAAGCAAACTTACTAAACTGAATACTAAAGCAAAACTAATAAAAACGAAATAGTAGAATAAATTAAAACTAAACAAAATGCGAAGTAAACAGAAGTGATTAAACTAAAAACTAAACATTAACTAATATAACTAAAAGAAACTATACGCAAGAAAAGCCGTAGAAGCATAATTTATGGAAGTACTGCACTCCACGATTATATGAAATAGGAGTAACTCACAGAGGAGGGGTTTGGCGGAGGGATGGGAGCAGGCGAGGGTGGAGGAGGCGGAGGGGGAGGAGCAACCCGCTAGTTTCTCAAGAAGAGCATTCAGCTCCACTTGAGGCAACTTGCAGCCTCATCCCTTCAGAAGGGAGAAGGCGGTCAGACGAAAGTCTTTCCGCAGTCCGTGCTCAGCCGGATTGAAGAAGGCTGAAATCTGCCGACTGATGGGCCTTTCAGTCATTCTGAGATCTAGATCACAGAAGAAGTGTTTTAAACATTAAATAAAACGACAGTGTAGTGCCGCAGATTACAGGCATGTATTACACATAAAGGAGTTGAAGTAGAAGGAGTAAGGAGGGGGCAGCGCAGGACGATTATACTAATCCTGATTATAACTGGTGCATACTGGTGCTGCGTACGACTGAGATCATGTCTGATGTAGAAGACCCCTATGACCTTAAGGTATGGCACCTACTCATGTAACGATATGGAAGGCTGGGCCCACTCTTTTATACGGCGACAAGGAATGAATACTGAACATCGAAAATCAATTTCAAGTCTTCACTGAGCTGGTCTATTCACAGTCCCCAAGTGGACGGCGACACCGTCTATGTACTGGGCAGTTTTTGTCCACGTACTGTGATCATGCCTGACCTAACCGGCCTCAATGATTTCACGGACAGTAACTCTGTACGCGTAACGATTGGCGGCAGCGGATCCGGAAAGTACAACCTATTCTTCCTCCAACGAAGGAGACCAAAAATGAAAGGTCCAAGAACCACTTCAATTTCTTCACGAACGGTGTCGAGTAAAGTCTTGAGTTGTCCTCCTTATCGACGCCTCCAAGTGGACTGCGGAGCCGGATCGAGGGCAGCATAAAAGAGTTCGTGATGTGGACGACAGATAACGATGCCAAACCACCCCAGCCGTCTTCCTTGGGTGGCCTGAGATAACCTCGCAATACAGTAGCAGCGTGTGCAGACTGAAGTCGGTATAATTCACTCGAATGATGGTCCTCAAGCAGTGGTGGTTAGATACCTCCAGTCTTCGTTCATCTTCCACGCGCAAAGCCCAGCATTCACACCTATACATGAGGAGAGACTGGACGGACGCACGGTACACACGGATCCTTGTGGTGATGGAGATGTCGCGTCGGATCCATATGCACTCTCAAAGGGCTGAAAAAGAACTTGGCGAGCAGCATCTATTCGGGAGACAATGTTGTCCTTACTCTGACAATTCGGTAGTAGCCTCGCCCCGAGGTATTTAAAGCTGTATACTTTTTCGTGTACACGGCCATTAATTCTCAAGGGTGCCGTCTCCTGGTCAGGAATGCAGCTCGGGAATAATTTTGTCATCCCTGCATTTATGAACAAGCCAACCGACATAGCAATCTAATTCGTCCGTGACAGTACAGACTGTAGATCACTGAAGCATGAGGCTAGCAGGGCGATGCCACCGGCGTTGTCGAGATAACTCAGCCGGCGTACGAGTGCAAGCTCAACACTGTCCTCTTCGTGTAGGACCTTCCCAATAATCTAGTCAATGACGTAATTGAGCAGAATGGGCGACAGCCCGCAACCTTGCCGAACACCAGACCGGA